AATTAAAGTACGCATCAAAATCTAGGTCATGGTGGTCGAATTTATATCGAAAACGAAAAAAAATTAATATTTTTGGTTATACGTGACGACCACCACATATAAATTCGACCACCATGACCTAGATTTTGATGCGTACTTTAATTCTAGACAAGAATTTTGCATTTCTATAAAGCCAATTAAAAGATTAGTGCTAAGAAAAAAACCGAAAAAAACCGGCTAGGATCACGGCTTTAGGATCACCTTAATCTACATTATAAAAAAATGAACGTATAGAGGATTTCTGATAATTTCTGAGGAGGGGGGAAGTTCGAGTACTTTTTTTCTGTCCCGTAATCAGTCGACACTCTTGAAAAACTTGGACAACAAATGACACGGGATTTTGTGATTTCTCACGGTGGATGTCAGATTCTGCGTATTTTTTTTTTACGATGCACCAATAATGGTCCTTCTATTTTATGTAATGTATATGTGAAAAATTAACTTTCGCGTACTGCGATTTTTAATCTCGCCACAATGTGACTCTTTACAAATGTACAAGTCTTTCCTGCTGGAGTCATCATTTTTTCACGCTTGTTGTGCTTACGCTGTCGGCCTTTGTGCTGACCTGTAAATTACAAAACATGTCCGAACTGGTTCGAAGCGGTGCTCGCATAACCTCTATTGTTATGCGAGCACCGTGTAAAGGAAATGGCCTATGCTACGTGACCCTCGAGCGCGATTGGTGACGCTTGTACTTTTCAAAGTGAACACCCGGTGAAGTATAACAGAAAAAAAAATGCGGAATTGCTGATATTGCAATCCTAAAATTGAAAACGGTATTGAAACGTTCGGCGTAATAACAATAATTTGGCAAAAATTTTCTGTTACGTATTGTGATATTGGTGTGTTATATCGATCTCGGCGGGAATGCAACATTTATAATGGCTGCATTTCGATATTCACCGTCAGCAATTTTCAGTACTGAAAATCTATAGTATACGTGACATAAAATATAGATTTGCAATACTGACAGTGAATATCGGAATGCCAATACATGTTACATTCTAATATTCTATATGTATCAATATATATATGTATATTTTATATATTAATATAAAATTGACATATTGTGTGTATTAATACATTAAATACATATATTGATAAAAAAAGTATATTACACATTTAATACATCAATAAAGAAAGTATTTATTATATATTAATACATATATTAATAAAAGAAGTACGTATTATACGTTGATACATACATGAATAAATAAGGTACATACTATATGTCAATACATACATTAATAAGTAAAGTACGTATTATATATTAATATATACTTTATATTAACATGTGTTTTGTATTAACGTATGCTTTATCTGTAAATATATAAGGTGCGTTTTATATATTGCTATTAAATATATAAAATATGAAAATGGTTTGCGAGAAGGGTTGTAGTCAGTTCAGAGAGCATTTTGCTTTTTTTTTTTTAATTTTTCGAATTATCAGAGATTGAACACATTTTCTATTTTCTCGGTTGTCTCTTTTTATCGGCATTATTTATTCATTTTTCCAGCGCTTTGGTCATTTAGACAAAAATGTCTCAAAGGGGAGGAGGGAAAGGAAGAGCGAGCCGTGGGCGAGCCACCCAAAAGCCGGCAGGTTCTACGCCTCAGGAGCAACATCTTCCGCACGCCCAAGTTCCATCGACCAGTGGAGCTGTTCGCAGACCAGGAACCCAACAAGCGGTATGTGTTAACAATATATATGTTATTACGATATATTAACGTACAATGACATGAGAATTTGACTTAAAAGTGTGGCTACAAGTGAATTTATATTGAAGAAATGGAATATTAACTTGTTTACCATTTTATTTCATGTGCAATCTTTATGCAAGGCTAATAATAAGGTGAATTATGTTGTATAACGTACATTTAACCCTCCGGAGGCAGGCGCCGGTCACTCCTGACTCATGCCTTGACTCTGTTTTGTTTAGACTGTACATACATCTCTTGCAAGGGGAGTTTTTAGAATTTGGAAAACTAATCATACCATCGCAAATCTGTTGTCTCAAACTGATACCAAACCATGAGGTTCTAATTATTTAACGTAAAACCCCTATACTCTTTTATTATTTTTTTTTTTTCCCTTCTTCTTCTTCTTCTTCTTCTTCTAAACGAGAAACCTTTCCCTTAGAAAACTCCTTAAACGGGAAATCCTCCTCTTGATCGAGGACTTCGTGGAATGACGGCAATCGGAATTGAACCACGGATCTTTCAGTTGCTAATCTTTAGCTGACACATGGAGCCACGCGTCATCTCAAGAAGAGCTCTTTTGTGCTCTAAACAAAAAAAAACAAATAAATGAGTAACTGGCCTCCGAAGGGTTAATAGATGTTCAAAATAATTAAGCAATTTTTTATTATAATTATATACGGAAACATGCATTCTTAAAAATGTTTGCTGTTGATGTTACATGTATAAATGTTACATTTTCTAAAGAACGATTCTATTGCACGAGTATAAGTTGTACAAGCATTACTGACAAAGAAAGATATTACAATCTTATAAAATGTTCTCTAGTTTATTCCATGATTCACATTAGTGACATTTGCAAATACTTGTAAGATTGGTTTAACATTAATAATCGTTTTAAAATTATGAATCGTTTTTTTTATCTTTGTGCAAAACAAGACACTACTATGATCTTCAACCAAGTTTAGTAGTGAGTATAAAATGTTTGCAGTTAAATGCACTTATTCTGAAAGTTTATATAGGGTGATTCTAACTGGACTGGGCTCTCTTTTCTAAAAAAATAATATATGATTCCATTTCTAAAAAAGTGCAGTTGCATCTTGCAAGTATACATTGTGTGAAAGAATATATCCATATATCAGTATGAAATATATCGATATATTAATATATATATATTTAAAATGACAGATCTTACTAAACAGTGATATTTTTTCTATCACTTTTTTTTGTATGTTGATCAATCTTGATTTAGAAAAGAGCTATAACTTAGTCAGTTACTAAAATCACCTATTATATTCGCACTGTTAGATTTTAACAAAAGTATTGCTTGTATCAGTGTTTCATTAGTTTGCTATTAAAATTTTTTATTTTATATGATATAAATTACACTGTATTAATATACTGATTACATTTGTAAAAAGTTAGTATTGTGCTTGTATTAACTTTCCATATGCACGTTTTTTCGATATCTTCCTGGTGCATACGTGAGTCAGTCATATTCGACGCTATTTTTCCCTACCTTAAAGTATTTTTAAAAAATTGGAAAACATTCACAAAACATCTGTCTGCATTGCAGTTGACGATTTTATAGTCACTTTGGCGAACACGGTTTATTTAATATTTTCTAGCAGGCTTGCAAGTTTTACAGTTACGAACAGATATTTTGACTCGGATGCCGTTGACTCGCGTTTGCACACGGAAGATTATTTTAATTTTATGTACGTTTCTGTATAATGCCTTAAACGCAACTTAATATCTATGATAATTATTATTTCGTTATCTTCTGTCAGAGCACAGGACGCGGTTTAAGTGCTCAACGCGTTGGTGAGAAAGGCGATGGCGCAGCGGTTGCACAGATAGGGAGAGGCGTGGAGCGACTTGGAATACAATCTGCTGGTATATTTTATTACTTCAGATTTATTCTACACAAAACA